TTATTATTATTATTATTATTATTATTATTATTATTATTATTATTTTTATTATTATTATTATTATTGTTATTGTTATTGTTATTGTTATTGTGGTTGTTGATGTGATGAAAAGTTAACACAAACGATATGGTGGCTAAACGAATATTACATGTAAATATTTTTTTTATTTGTTTGTTCCCCGACAAAATTTATCGTCTTCCCCGACGGGGTGGGGGGATATAGCCCCCGAGCCCCCTCTGGCGCCACCCCTGGTTCAGATGACTGATAACAACGTACGGTACTTGTATCAATAGAAAATTGAAAGTCTGACTGCTAAGGTTTTAGTATTTTATTTTGAAAAAGACGGTTAGATATTACTGATTCTATGTATATTTACACAGCTTACATCTATTTCATTAGATTCTTTATAAATGTTTACATTTATCATAACAATCATGTTTATTTGACCTGTTGCTATATTTATAATTGTGCATGCAAACAATAATGGATATTTTTGAATGAATGAAAATGGTTTAATTAAGCTGGCAAAACAAACTCTGTGGAGCGATTTCCCCGAGATCATTGTGATACTCACGTTGTTTATATATCTTTTAAGATCAGTATTGACCATAAGTGGTAAAGTACGGTAGATTCATTTAACGGTGTAACATGACATCAACATGTCCATATATGGGCACATCCAGGCCCGTAGCCGGGGGGGGGGGGTGGTTTATGGTTCGGGCGAACCCCCTTTTCTAGCGAACCCCCACAAATTTTTGAATGAGTCCCACTCGGACGGAATGTCTGTTTTTATCTTACCTAGCATTAAATCAAAATTTAGCACCTAATTCATTATTCGGTCACCCGTTTTTCAATTGTAGCCTGCGATACAAACAAAATTAAATTAAATTAAATTAAATTAAATTGAACGCAACTCTAGCAAACCATGACTTTACGATGGCACACATAAGGATGGCAAACATCGATAAAAAAAAAACCGGCTGCCGTCTCAACTTTCACTGTCCTTTGGTTGAATGTTTGTAAGAAATGTACCAACCGTTAACGAAACCGTTCGCCGTCTACCTAGAGTAAATGGTGCCACCAAACGAAGCTAAAGTTTTGCGACTTAATCCACCAAATGCAGATAAAGTTTTGCGAGTTAATCACCTGATTGTGGATTGTGTCAGGGGCGGATCCAGAAATGTCCAAAAGGGGGGGCCGGAAGGGGGGCCGAAAGTTGGGCCAATTGAGACAACACTGTCGTAGGGGATCTGGGGCATGCCCCCGCGAAATTTCTGTGTTCTAGACGACCAAACATAACATTTGAGGCATTCTGGGCTATCATTTTTTTCTTTTTCTCTCTTTTTTTTCTTTTTTTTACCTCCCAAAAGGGGGGGCCGGGGCCGGGCCGGCCCCCCCCTAAATCCGCCCCTGTGTGTGGTTAGTAAATTCCATAGCCATACTGTTCATAGCGCACATTAAACTACCTGCTGATGGAGCATTTTGGGGATATTGACTCTCCTTTTTTCCCATCCCAAACAAAATATAATATTAATAAATCAACATGGTCCATCGAGTCATCATTATCACAAAATTAGGCTAGGAAGTTTGTTTTCAACAGCACGCACTACACGTGAGACACACACTACACCAACGGAGTGCGTCAAAACGAATGTTTGTTAATTTTTAGTGATAAAGAATCATGAAACGTAAAATAACTGACTTTTTTTCGTCCGCTGTTGCAAAAAAGAAAACGACAGATAGTTCTTTAGGTTATTGATTTTAAAATCAATTAGCCTAGCCTAGATGTTGATTAGCTAGGTTCGCTCCTCGTTCATTTAGAGACAGAATTAGACCCCGACGACAACGAACTAGTGTACAGTAAGGCCTAAGTACAGTAGGACGTACTACAGGTACTAGGCCTAGGCTTTTCTTGTAAAAGTTGAAGTGCATGTACAAAATGCGACATTGGCCTGTATTAAAAAAAAAACAAAACAAAAAAACATTTGTTAATTATTATTGGTTGGCCTGGGCAGGCAGGCTGGCTTTACCGTCGAAAGTCCTGGAATTTGACAATGACGTCAGTGCACGTTTGCAAACGCCATTGATTAGAATGAAAATAGACGCGCTGAATTTCGTTTTTTGTTTTTTTTTTATGAAAGATAGAATTTATCAAACATTTATCTATATAAAAACAAGATTAATATTGTAGAAATTATATTTCTAAAGATGCATATAATTCATATTTCATTTGGTAGACAATAAATATTCAGGAAGATATACTAAAAACGATTATTAATTCTAAAAATGTGCATCAAATCTCAGCTATTATTAATCAGCATGTATTCTGTTATAAAGTCTTAAAATAATAATTTCGAATTAGGCCTAGTATATAACAAATAATTGTATTATTTTTTTTGTAAGTTTAGGTTCTCATGATGTCAGATGACGTATTGAATATGATGCTATATTTTGGGCTCTGACTTAATTTAACGATGACCCTGTCAGTAGTAATGACAATATTTGTGCTTTTTTAGCCATGTAGTAAAATAGTACTATTATTTTCAGTGTACAAAATGAGAGTCAAGAAGAAGTAGTAGAAGAAGAAGAATGGGAAGAGGAGGAAGAAGAAAAGCTTTTTTTTGTTTTATAATAATAAATGTGTTGAGTATATTGATATTGATTATGCGATGAGGCATTGTTTTTCTATATCTTTCGGTGTTATTTAAACATGCCAGTTCTCACAAAATATATTCTAATTTTATTATATTACTACCTTTTAATTACATAGATCTTTTTTCAAAACATAACATTATATAGACCCATTAAACACAAAAACTGCTCTGGCTTCGGGAGCTTCGCCCCCGACCCCACCGTGGACCTTAGGCAGGCCCCTGGACCCCACGCCCAGAGAAACCCCCCCCCCCCCTCGAAATGGCCTG